GGCACTTGCGGGGACTCCGCAAGCACCAATTGCACCTACTTCCAGAGCCCCAACTACCCGGACTATTATCCGGCCAATGGTGGCGTGGTCACGCCCACCACTACGCCGGTGCCCGCCCTCTCGCCCACGCCGGATCCCAGGTAGGACGCCTGAAGGCGTGTGCACCCACTCGGCAAACGAAACGTTGCGTTGCAGATTGCACTGGTACCATCGGCTGGTAGTGTCCAGAACGCTGGCAAAGGGCAGACAAAGCAGTTCGGACAGCAGCTCGTGCGGTTTCACGATCAGCAAAGCCAACGCCAACGTGCAACAGTTGAGGATTGACTTTGTCGATTTGGATGTAAGTGGGTTTTTGGTCATTTTTACAAAAGAAACAAAAATAATGGTTTTTTGGTTTAGTTGGCAGGGCCGACCAATGGAACCTGCATGGATGAGCGGCTGGTGATCAGCGGCCAAAACGCCAACGACCAAATCCCGGTGATTTGCGGCTACAACACGGGACAGCATGGTACCGACCCAGTTTGTCCAGTTTCTATCCTATATTCAACTGGGTTTGTTTTCAGTGTACGTTGACGTGTCCCAGTTAAGCGGGCCGGTTGCAATCATGGTGCTGTCGACTACCGGAGCGCAAAAGCGCTTCAAACTGAAAATCTGTCAGTTCAGTGACACCTGTCAGACGTCGCAGGGCAACTGTTTGCAGTACTACACTGGAACCAGTGGGGTGATCCAGAGCTTCAACTACGACAGAGCGGCGATGTTCAGCCGCAGCACTCCTGGATACTTTGTAGGTCATCTTTTTGGCAGTGAACAGCCGGGCGAAGAACGATTTTTCGCTGTTGTTCCAGAACAATCTGAACTATGCGGTGTGCATTCGGCGCGAAGCTGGCTACTGCTCCATCACCTACTCCAGCCAGAACTACCCGTTCCAATTGGTCAATAGTCTACCCAGTGAGTAGTTGTTTGAAACTTTCCAGAAAGTTTCATTTAAATCGCACGAAAACCTGATTTT